AAACTGAATTTGATTTTTTTAATATAATGAGAATAAACCGAGTAGGCTTACCGCCCATTAAGAGGCCGTTTGACAATACTATTTTTCGGCATATCAGGCTTATCAGCCAACTTTTTCACCAAACACGTAATTTTTACTTATGCGCGCTGAATTGTGTAATAAGCAGAAAAAGTAAGGTTGGAGTTACTTTTCTGGCTGTATTAGCTGAAGTTACTGTGAATGACTATTTTAGCTATTTTTACATATATTTTTTCTTTATTTTATTAATAAAATATATTTTAAAAACAATTTTTTCCTAAATCAGTAGAATCATCCAATGCAACCACTTCAGCAAGAACTTTATAAAGTTCAGCAGAATCAGCCAAAACAGCCGATTTTGATGCTACCAAACGGGCTCTAAGTATTCATGTGAAAAAAAATATGATGTCCCCACGGACCCCACCCATAAGGCCATAATACCTACTTTTTGTTTGTGACGTTGAATTTCTTCCCCAGAACATGTGCTTTGTTGTGATGTAAGTGTTAAAAAAGATTGAAGTTATGTATAGTTTAGGTACGTATAGACTAATAGAGTGAACCATTTGTTTGAAGCTTAATGTGGTCTAATGTGATTTGTTCAGGTATGTATCAGTTTGCATGGTCTGATCTGATTTGAGATTGAAACTACTTCAATTAAAAACATTAGGTGGACATTTTGAAAATTATTTATCTTAGTTTTATGATAAATAAGACTAAAGATGACAGTATTTTCCAAACATGGCAGTAAATACTCCTATTTTGGGAATAAAAACATGGCAGTCCTATTTTGAAATTTTCAAACTTATTTACTCCTTTTTCGAGAATTTTCCCTTAAAGTTATGGGCTATTAGCCATCGGTAAGACTAAAAATAGCCTAAATGAAAAGACGATAATCCTTTTATTTCCAAAACAAGAGTAATATATGTCCCTTTTTTCATATTTTATTCCGTTCTTATAATTTCTAATACATTGATTTTATTAATAAGAAAACCATATGTTTTTTTATAATAAAAATACAAAACTTAATAAAAATATTTATAAATTAATAATAAAAAAGGGAAAAGTAAAATAAAATTAAAAATTATAAAAAAGATTGAATACTTAAAAAATCTAAAAACATAATATAATATACCAAAAAATTATTAAAAATGTAGGCCGCTGCCACCACATCCTCTACCTCCCAGGCATCCCAGCATCGGTCGTAAAAAATGTCATCTTGTGTAAAAATGTCACGTTCCATTGAATTTTTTTGGATGAAATGTAAGTATATATTAACACCCAAGAAAATAACAATTCAATGTTACAAGCAAAGTGCATATCCCAGTATATAGGATACCACAAAATCAAACATTCCCTCCTCCCAATCCAACATTTTGAACCCAAATACAATAGGAGCAAAATAAAGTTCACACAAAAATCAAGCTACCACAACATAATATTAGGAGTCCCTAATCTAAAATCCAAAGAAAGTTCGGAAAGGAGAAGTGAACTTTGGGTCGAAACAAACCTCACCTTTTTTCCTAGTAACTCCCGGCATCCCCTCGAGGCATTTGGCGGTGAAAGTAAGGCCTTTCCTATCCAAATCGTCCGTAAGTCGAAGGGAGGTATCCACTCTAATCACACTCGCGTGCACGAACTTAAATGGTTTGACCGCTAGCTTGAGTGTCTTACCGTTTATGACCGCACATTTGATGACAACATCATTTAGATTCAAATCTTTTTCATCCATCACAATCCTTTCGGTATCTATCAAACCGGCCTCGGAATCCTTATCAACATCTTTGGACAGCCCCTGGGTTGGCGGTGTCAAAGCTTTTTTCTTGGCAGCGGACATTTCATCACTGGCAGGCCCCTGGGAAGAATTCTGCTCTTTATACCCGGTCGGGTCATGGCAGCACCCGGTCGGGCTGGCAGCAGCATCAAGCAGCTGGGCAACAGATCCGGTCGGGCCAAGGGAAAGCTCGGTCGGGTATCCCTGAGCAGTAGCTACTGGCCGGCTATCCACCAACCCAAAATCCTCATTTTTTTTTTCAACATTTTGTTCTTTCTCCCTTTCTCCATCAACCCGTTTGGCAAACTTAGTACAAATAAAAGGGTTGTGCCCATATTCCTTGCAATGAAAGCAAAAGTTAGGAAAAGTTTCATATAGCACACTTTGTTTGATTACCTTTTGGGAAGGTAGTCGTATAGGAAAGGATAGCGGCGGTGGCTTTGAAACATCAACCTCTATCAACACTCTAGCAAAGTCATTGTTAATCCTCTCTTGAGTGATTTTGTCCGTAGTTATTGGGACCCCAATCATAGAAGCTACCTCACTCATAGCTTCATCATTCCATAACTTCATAGGCAATTTAGGAAACTTAACCCAAATTGGTATCTTTAGAAATTCCTCATCCTCAAAGGAGAAATCTTCCGAGAGTTTTTTGAGCATAAGGAGTTTCCCAAAAGCGGTGTATGGTCCCTCATGTAATACCTTCATTCTATCCTCTTCACTTTGGAATTTGAAGATTATCCAACCCCTATTGTGGGACCTCACGAGACATTTCACACCCCACTTATTTTTCAAATCATGAATTGCTTTGAGTCCGGGGAATTTTCCGGTGAAATGTCCCACTAGACAATGACCCCACATTTCAACCATAGAGGGCAAATATCGACCCCCAAAGTCCAAAATTTCTCCTTTGGGAGGGACATATTTCAGTTTAATGCCATGTCTAGGGTCACGGTTATCCTTAAACAAAGTGCTCCAAGGTGTTTGCTTTGGCTGAGCAATCATAGGTATAGGCTCAACCTGCCCAGTTTTCAGGATTGAACCAGTAGCAGCATGGGTATTTTTTGCAACCCCAGCGTCATTAACCATCTGAATATTGGCAGCAGCAGGTGTTTTAGCTACTGCACCACCAGCGTCAATCTGCCCAGTTTTCAGGATAGTCTGAGGTTTTTCTGCCAGCATATAAGTCTGGCCAGCACCTCCTTTGATTCCTTTAGGCTCCAGCGTTTTTGCTGCCAGAGTAGCTGCTGGTACCTCATATGGTGGGTTATTCCCAGCTTTAGTAACAACCTGTACTTCGGTAGCAGGAGTGACATCAGTAGCATAAGCAAACACAGGTTCCTTAGCAGCACCATCTCGTTGTTCTTTCAATTTTGGGGCTGGTTCAGTGAGCAGAGGGAACTCCTCCTCAAAGTCATCCAGTAGGTCAAATCTTGCTTTTGACCTGGTAAGTCTGGACGAAGACTCCCCGTTCCCAGTCTTCTTTTTCTTCATCAGTTGCAGCTCTGCAAACGAGCTCAAAAACAGGATGTGAATTCGACTTCCAAAACAGGGCCAACAGAGATGCGAAGCAAACTCGTCTTGCCAAAAGGAGTCTCAAACCACCCTCAGGCTCTGGATTTCAAAGGCAGAAAATGAAATACCACAGAAGACTGTTTCTTCCTCGCCATTTCAGCAGTAGTTTAAGCGCAGCAACGTATCCCTTGTGAAAGTGGGTTTCAGGATTCCCGCCGTCTCCACTCTCCGGAAAACAGTTGGAGGTGCGTCCAGTGATGGAGAACACCAAACCAGACTGAAATCGTTGAAGCAATCGTCAAATTCGAAACTCAAAACCAAACTAAAAAACGAAGTGAACAGTAAAATTCCCGACGAAGATCTCGATTTCAGAGTTTTTGGCCGTATCTCATCCTTCCAATTTCAAATCGAAGGTCCGAAATAGGTTAAGGAGGAATTTCCGACCAATAAACAGAATAAACCAGTCTCAGAACTCACAAATCCAAACAACCATAAGCCTCATTGCACGCAAGAACCAAGGTCGGAAACCCAGGGAGAGAGGAACTCTCAACTTGCGTTTTTTGACATTGGGAATTCACGTCACGTTCCATTGAAAATGGCATGAATATGACATTTTTACTCTTTGAATATGTCTAGCATTGTTTTCATCACGATGACATTTTTTCGACTTAGAATTCTTTTCTGGCGATAGGAGGTGGCAGTGTTGGGGCAGCTGAAGTGATGATTGAGGCCTACATATGTTTTACTCCTATTTATTTTTTAGGTTTTTAATTTTTTTATGTTTTATTATTATTATTTAAAAAAAATCTATCAAGAATGACAAGGGAAAGGGTAGAATAGGAAGGATTAATCTCCCTTCCTATTCTACCCTTTCAAATTAAACTTTAAGATCATATTGTTGCAATTTTGATTTTATTTAGTTCTATTTAGGGAAATCTCCCTAAAGCTATTTTCAATTAAAAACACTAGATTTCATATTTTGGAAATTACTTGGCTTGTTTTTATGATTAAACATTAAAGTTGTCAAATATACCTAGATTATAAAAAATATTAAAGCACAATTAAATTTAGGGCCAATTTGATAATATTGAAGTTGAAATATGTTGAAATTGGTAAAGTTATAGTTGAAGTATCTGAATGACAAAAAATTATATTTAAATTATAAGTATATATTTTACAATAAATTAGAGGAAAAATAGTTAAAAATAATCTTCAAAGTAACTTCGATCAAATCAACCAAAAACAAAACACCCAAATTAACTTACTCCGTAAATAATTACAATAACACAATTTAACATTCCAAATAAAAAAGTTGCTTGTTTGATAAAAATTTTGATTGCTGATTAGCTAAAAAAATACTACCTCCGTCCCGCTAGAAGGTTCCCATAGCAAAACGGCACGGTTATTTAGGTCATAATTAAATAAAGTATTTCGGGTATATTTTGAGAAATAATTTTAATAGGTATATATTACAATGTGTTAGTATTGATAACTGCGATGTTATAAATGTATTATTTTTAATATTTAATAACTAATTTGTCACTTAAGATTGTTGATTGTTTCCTAAAATGGAAATCGAAACCTTCTAATGGGACGTCCAAAAAAGAAAAGTGGGAACCTTCTAACAGGACAGAGGAGTATGGAATACAAAAAAAAAAGATTTTAATCATACTCCGTACAAGAGTGTAAGGTGCATAATTAATTCATCATAATAAAAAACGCTTTAGATGTATGTTTCAATCATAGGCTAGTGACTAGAATTTGGTATACAATAGTTTAATTTGACTTCTTTTGAAAAAAAATGTATAATTTGGTTGGTACCAAAAAAGGTGCCAGAAAGTTTTGTACCTTTCACTTGAGTGCTGCAGCTTACGTTTTGCTTTGACTTTAATTTCTTCCCATTACAATGAGTCAACGACGCCGTCGTTTTGAGCTTCTCTTTCAAGTTCTCTATCTCAGCTTCTTTACACTTCATTTCTCTTCTCAAATCATCCGCCACCGCCTCGTACGGCGCCACCACTTCCCTCAGCGTCGCCGCCCCAACAATCCGCCTCCCTCTTCCGCCGCCATCAGCGCCGACACTCCGCCTATACCTTTCCTTCAAGATACCCAGCCTCCGGAGCTCTGCCACCACGGCCACGTCAGCCACGCGCATCTTATCCGGATCCCAAGGAATGTGCGCTTCCTGCAGGCTAACGTACGCCTTCTTCATGTTCACCACCGCTTCGAACACTTCCGCCAATATCATTTCCATTTCTAGGACCCTTTCAGCTCTGAGATCCTCTTTACTGCTTTCCGGGATTTCGGAATCTTCTCCTTCTTCGTCGTCTTCGCTGTGAGTGATTTCCGCGCCGGAGTTGGAGTTGTTGTACTTGTCTTCGTCGGAATCTCCGTTATCGCGATCGGCGGCAGTGACGGGCGGGTGGAGCAGGCAAGGTGCTGTAATGCGCTGGATCAGATCGGACATATTGGAGACCATGTTCGCCATTTTCCTGTTCAATTTCTGCAAATGAATGGCTGGCTAGTCATGAATTCTGAATTAGATAATGGGCGGTGCTACAACTTGCACCAAAAATTAATTTTTGGAACATGACATTTGTAAGTCATCATCATTATCCCTCTCATCTGCGGTGGAATAAGGAGGTCGGATGTATGCAGTCTTACCTCTGTACTAAACCATAGAGAGACTGTTTCCGAATGAACCAAGGTGAAAAAGCGCGTTGAAAATCGCATGGACTAATGATTGTTTCATAATAAAGAAATACAGACATTTTAGTGAGTCGTTTTGCTTTATTCCATCATTTTATCAAATAAAAAAATAATAAATTTTTGAGTCCATTGCAAATGATGGAAAGGAACGGGACTATGGACATATAAAAATTATTGGATCAGTTGAGATGATTAGTGGGCCTCTTTTGAATGATATCTAGCCAGCGTCAATTTTAGTGGGCTGCTCGTGATGGTTGTTGGGCCTTATCAAGAAGAAAATAGTGATATCTTGGGATAAAATTTATTAATTTAATTAATTTGGATCATTCAAAATATCCAATTAATTTAATTATAAGTTGAGTCTTTGACAAAATGGACCGATCCTATTGATTTCTCTCTTTCGAGCCCAATACGGAGTATGAAATAGTGGTCCAATGAATGAGAGGCATGATCCAATTGATAAAGAAGACGAATCTGGTTAAGAAATGTGTCCATATGCATGAGAAATAGCTCCGAACCTTGTTAAAAGAGCTGTCCAAATACATTAGATAAGTGCTGATTTTTCTGGCTATTAAAATGCAAGTAAATGGAGCCCAAAGCCCATTTTAATTATGGCCCATGAGGTATGAACGAATTCCAGCAACCCTAGGCCATATTTTCACCCTCTCCACACCTATAAATAGGGGTCTCAGTTGAGAGGAATAGGAAGAGAACTTCCAGATGAAGAAACGCTGCAACAAAGCTCTGAAGAACTCCCGAAAGGCTCTAAAGGATTCCGAAGCATCGCAAGATATCAAGCCACGCTTTTTTCAAGAATATATGAATAATCCTTTGTGATTTCATCTATTCTTGATCAAACAAAGCAAAAAGTTGAAGAACGTTCGAAGATCTGAAGAACGAAGATTGAAGATTCGAAGATCTAAAGAACGAAGCTTTGAAGATTTGAAGATATGAAGAACGAATCTTTGAAGATTTGAAGATATTCATATGAAAATTGAATCAAGATTCAACTGAAGATCAAGTCATATATCCCAGGAGGCCCTTAAACAAAAGATCAAGCCATAAAATGGCTCTTTTGTTGAAGATCAAACCACTTGAAAACCGGAGGCTCTTCAAACTGAATTCTTTATTCAAGAAGATTTGAAGATCCGAAGAACGAAGGTTCGAAGATTCGAAGATCTCAAAAACGAAGATTCGAAGATCCGAAGAACGTTCAAATATTTGAAGAATTAGAGATTTAATTTTTAATTAAATTCTTTAATTATATTACTTCAAATTGCAAGTGAAGAATCAGAGGATTCATATTTAGAAATCGTACCCGATATTCTCATATATTATTATTTGCGATCAATTTTAAGTAAATACTTAAAATTTGTTTCACAAATTTTTGGCACGCCTGGTGGGACAACTCTACCTCTCATCTCTTCACTTTTGATCAAGGAAAACGAACCAATGGCATCAAGCAAGTCCGTGTTCACTTTGAATTCTAGAGCATCATCAAGCTCAAATCAAAACATGCAAGGCCCTATTACTAGGAGCCAATCAAGAATCCTGGCTGCACAGTCATCCTCGGGAACTACTCCCGATGCAATGGATGGATCTCGAATTGCGCAAGAGATAGCCCGAAAGTTTTCTTCACCCATACGTGAAGTTACTTCCCCGAAGTGGACAAGCGGTGGTGAGAGCTCATCATCTGGATCAGACTCTACTCCCCCTTCAACTCCTCCACGAAGGACTACTTCGCAGTGGTCAAATGTCTATACTGTGATGCCCACCATGACAACGAGCACCACGTCTATGGAAGAACAGATCGCCCATCTAACTAAAGTCATCGAAGGGATGAGTATGTTCATGCAAGTTCAAGACCAAAAGTTGAGTGATCTGAACAACAAAGTAGAAATCTTGAAAGGCGAGTCAAGTCATACTCATGAGAAGGATCCCGAAGTGAACGAAGAGAATGATCCTCACCAAGAGGATTCAGGGAAGGATATCTCAACTTCTGGGAGCATGATCCCAATTGATCAACTTAAAGACTTCATCATGGGAACCATAATGGGGAAGATGGAAGGAAGCAAATCTACTTACTCCTGTGTTAAGCCATATACTCAAAGGATCGAGGATCTAAAGATGCCCATTGGTTACCAGCCGCCGAAGTTCATCCAGTTTGATGGGAAGGAAAATCCAAGGCAACATGTTGCCCATTTCGTGGAAACTTGCAATAATGCGAGAACGAGCGGAGATCACCTTGTCAAACAGTTTGTGCGTTCTTTGAAAGCAAATACCTTTGACTGGTATACTGATTTGGAGCCCGGTTCCATTGACAGCTGGCAAGATATGGAACGCGAGTTCTTAAACCGTTTCTACAACACAAGGAGGGAGGAGAACTTCCAGACGAAGAAACGCTGCAGAAAAGCTCTGAAGAACTCCCGAAAGGTTCTGAAGGATTCCGAAGCATCGGAAGATATCAAGCCACGTTTTTTGTCAAGAATATATGATTAATCCTTTGTGATTTCATTTATTCTTGATCAAACAAAGCAAAAAGTTGAAGAACGTTCGAAGATCTGAAGAACGAAGCTTGAAGATTCGAAGATCTGAAGAACGAAGCTTTGAAAATTCGAAGATATGAAGATCGAATCTTTGAAGATTTGAAGATATTCATATGAAAATTGAATCAAGGTTCAACTGAAGATCAAGCCATATATCCCGGGAGGCCCTTAAATAGAAGATCAAGCCATAAAACGGCCCTTTTGTTGAAGATCAAGCCACTTGAAACCGGAGGCCCTTCAAGCTGAATTCTTTATTCAAGAAGATTTGAAGATCCGAAGAACGAAGGTTCGAAGATCTCAAGAACGAAGATTCGAAGATCCGAAGAACATTCAAATATTTGAAGAATTAGAGATTTAATTTTTAATTAAATTCTTTAATTATATTCATATCAAATTGCAAGTGAAGAATCAGAGGATTCATATTTAGAGATTGTACCTGATATTTTCATATATTATTATTTGCGATCAATTTTAAGTAAATACTTAAAATTTGTTTCACAGGGACATTTGTACATGATATTTGTAATTGTAGATGTCAATTTATTGTTGAATGAAACACAATGTTTCTAAGAAGTTGTTCTGTTATAGTAAATCAACCATTTAAAATAAAATATAAAAAAAGGTAACTGCATACTAATGTACTATGCGTATAATTAAGCTCATCCATAGAAATAACTAGAACTTATGCTTTAAAACAGTATGAGTACTACCGAAGAAAATTAAAAAATGTTTTGTTCCGGTAAATGTTCCCCGACATTTATCACACTAATTTTGGTGGTTTACCTACCGGGTTATAAAATAAAATAAAAAAGTTAAGACTCAATCGAGTCTTAAATTGGGTCTAGCTTTGGTCAACAAAAGAAGGATCCCTTCTTTGAAAAAAATATATATGAGGGCTAATGCTAAAACATTGACAGCTTATTAATGTCTCATCATAAAAAAAATCACATGAGGCATCTTGATTCTTGAGGTTGAAGATCCTCCAAATTTGAGACAAATATAGAAAAGGTTATTATGTGTGTATGCAGTTAAGAAACGTTGTGAAAAAAACAATGTATTTAAATTGTAATTAACTTGCAAATGTAATAAAAGTCCAAAAATGAAAAGGCAATTGTTTTCATCTTTTCATTTGACATTTCTAGCTTGGTAACTGTGGAGTATCTGTATTGATTACCTGGGTGGCTGGGTTTTAGTCTAGTACTAGTATATAGGTGTGAGGTAAACCTTGATAGAATATAATTAATGAGTTAAACTATGGTAGTAGAAACCTTACTTGGAGAGTTAGGGCCTGTTACTTTCCGATATAAGCAGTGTCTCAATCTAAGTCAAAGGATATCTATTACAATATTACCATAATACCATGCTTTAACATTTTACTTATACCCAATTTATCTTGATATCAAAATTTGGTCAGTGGGCGATTTTTGCGCCGCCTGTCCCTTTGATGTTTTGGACCAATATGTCCACCTATTTAGTTGTCCACTTCAAATTCAGCTGAGGGGTGTGTGAACATCCCACATTGGCAAGTGTAGAAGTAAAATTTAAGCATCATCTCTTGACAATCTTTTGGATGTAGAAATACCCACATTAAAAACCTTGTCTTATATATCAAGAGAAACAGGGACTGAGAAAAAATGTAAAAGAAGTCTACTTGCCAATTTATAATTTGAAATAATTTGAAATGAAATAACAAGCATAACTATCCATTCCACCACTATATTCGAGAAGGCAACACAATGTCTGATAAGTGATAACACATAATTCACCTTAAGAGCAACAGAACTTTATATCTATCAGTCTGTATGAGTTAACCTGAGCTTTTTGGCTTCTAACTCTCTCAAAGCAGAACTTAGTTTGTCTGCACTTGATTCTTCAAAGAGTATATCCACAACTTCAATCTGCACAATAAACTCTAAAGAAATGATATGGTTTGGTTTGGCAGAATCTACCAGAGGTGGTCAAAGAATGGACCAGCTTGAGTGGTCCTCAATATTTTAATTAATTAAATCAGTTTCCTACTTTGAGTCTATTTTAATTAATTAAATAAGTTTCCCAATTTGGGTCTAATACCAGTTTATTTATTCAAGTTGCCTTATACTAGTTTAAGAGCTTCTTTATTACTTCTTTCCTATTATTGTTTTTGGAAACTTATCTTTTGCCTATTTAAGGCTTATCAGTTGGAATAATATTAATAATAATAAGATCAGCTTTGTAATATTAATTTTTATTTGGCGTGACAACTCCTTGCTGAGGGCGGGAGTCAATTAATATTTCAGGCGCCATAGATTCATATTTTTTTCTCATTCTTCTGAGAATCATCATCCTTGGACTAGATCCTGTACAAGGACCCTTGACAATTTGGTGTCAGTATCCAGGACAATGGGGAATGATCATATCACCACAGATACACTCCAAACCTTCATGGGCTCATGGCAGTAATTAACCAGTGCCAAGGATCGCTTGAGGCAAAAATTATAGATCTGTGACATCTACATCCACACAACTTGCTGGCTGACTAGTAAATCTGCAGGTTCACACACCGACTCCAACAGCAACAACCCTTCTGGATCCTAGGGTGAGAATAGGGAGTTTCAGGAAGACCATCGAGTCCATATCGAGAATAACATTGTGCCCCGCTATTCCAAACTCGATTTCCCTACGTATGATGGTACAAGTGACCCAAGCTTGTTCAACGCCAGCTTAATGAAGGTGCCTTGGGAACAAGTGGGCATATTGAGCGGGGGTGTTGTTTTTCCCATAATAAGTATACTTATTGCCATCTTTTACCGCAGTTCCAACTATAGTCAATTTGTTCCACTCCATGCCCATGAAGGTAGTGCTAAGACGTTAGAGAGGGTGCGTCAAGATTTTGTTGGCCTGGCATGAAAAAGACCATCAGTGACCATGTACGGGATTGCCAAGTGTCTCAACAACACAAATGGCTGAACCTTCTGTCTGCAGATTTATTGCAGCCCCTGTTCATTCCTCATCACGTTGGGCAGATATATCCATGGGCTTCATCGAGGGATTGCACAAGGTTCGCGGGAAATCATTTGTTTTTGTGGTTGTGGATCGATTGTCTAAGACAGCTCATTTCATTGCACTATCACATCCGTTTACGGCTGTTACAGGGGCAACAGTCTTCTTCTCTGAAATTTTTCGCCTCCATGACCTTCCAGAATCTATTGTCTCCGACCGGGGTAAAGTTTTCGTGAGTTCCGTCTAGCGTGAGTTATTCTGTCTGTGTGGATCCCGACTTCAATTTTCTTCAGCCTACCACCCTCAAACAGATTACTGTCTCCAAGATTGGGTTTGTTGGCTTTCATGGACGGAGTATTGCTATAACACATCTTTCCATGCATATTTAAGTTATACTTATTTCAAGTTAGTGTATGGTTGTGACTCGCTCAAGCTACTTTCTTACACACCTGGCACTGCAAAGCTTGACGCAGTTGACCAAGCACTCATTGACAGCCACTCCATCCTCACCATAACCAAGACCAGGTTGCTCCAAGCTCAGCAACGCATGAAACTTCAATACGATAAGGGCCACTGTGACTTGTCAATCACCCCAGGTGATTGGGGTGATTGAGAGTTTAACTCCGAATTCATTTACATCGCCAATTGTCACTCATCAGGTAGACTCACAAGCTTTCACCCAAGTTTTTTGGGTCCTTTCAAATAAACGAAGCTATTGGACAAGCTGCCTATCGTCTAATACTTCCTCCAACAAGGAAAATTCATGACGTCGCACAGGGGAGAGTCGGAGACACGCTTTCGGCAATGGGAGCCTTACCAGAATTGAACAACCCGCCAACCCCACTCCACCCTCTGTCCATTTTGAAGGCTCGTTCATATCAGGGTAGCTGGGAAATCCTTGTCCACTGGACAGGTCAGCTACTGGAAGAGGCTACATAGAAAAAACTGGATTCCTTCCGTGAGAATTTTCCCAATTTCGATCTCGAGGACAAGTTCGTGTCCATGGAGGGAGTGATAATATGGGTCGATTGGGCAGAGTCTATCAGAGGCGGTCAAAGAAGGGACCAGCTTGAGTTCCTAAATATTTTATTTAATTAAATCAGTTTCTTACTTTGAGTCTATTTTAATTAATTAAACCAGTTTGCTACTTCGAGTCTAATACCAGTTTATTTATTCAGGTTTTCTTATATTAGTTTAAGGGCGCTCTTTATTACTTCTTTCCTATTATTGTTTTAATAAACTTGTCTTTTGCCTATTTAAGGCTTATCAGTTGGAATAGTAAGGTTAGCTTTGGAATATTAAATATTAATTTTATTTGGTGCACGGTGGAGCCTGCGACAACTCCTTGCCGAAGGCAGGAGTCGATTAATATTTCAGGCGCCATAGATTCATATTTTTCTTGTTCTTCTCGGAATCATCGACATTGGACTAGATCTTGTACCAACTACCAAGGCCCTTAACAGAAAGACTTTAAAATAAAAGATAAATGAAAACTAAATGACAAATGATATAATGATGTCTCTATATATAGAGAGTAAGCCATAGATCAGACCTTAAGTTGTAAGAGACCTCTCTTAGTCCTTTTCTTATTGACAGCAAAACCACCCGGTAGTGTCTCTTTGCTGATCACAAAAACACCCATAGCCACATTTTAATGAATTGCGTTCGTGCATGACTAAGTAAATTAGGAGCCACAGAGGAAGATTACTTCCTCTTCCCACCCCCCTCCCGCACTTACAGAAAAATATGTTCCAACTTTCAAAAGGTATGTTTGTCCTGGCATCTCTATGTTCCAACGTTTCTATGACACCTGTGAGTTTTACCTTGCCATAATATAAAACTTGCACCTCAACCAAAAACAATGTTTAGAAGACACTTTTAAGCCTTGAAGTGCTTTGCATTTGGAGGCTAGGTCTAGGCGGTTGGAGGCACAACTGCGTAAACCAGAAACTGCATACAAAACTTCTTTTAAAAATCAAACTTACTAACAATCCTATAGGATGATGATAATCCCAACTATGACATCTCTGATTTAAATAATACTCCCTCCGTCCCAGTAAGATTGTCTCATCTTTCCATTTGGGTTTATCCCACTAAGATTGTCCCATATCATATTTGGTAAAATTTGTGTGGTTCTAAGTCATTCTTACTTTAACAATTCAATATCAACCACATAAACTCACTTTTATTAATAAGCGCACCACCTCCTCATGTCCCAATGTTAGTGGGACGGGGGTAGTACAATCAATTATTTCAAAACAATCTTGTTTACAAAATATTCTGATGACTTGTATTAACCTATTGTATACGCTAATTAGAGGCAAATAATTCATTTTTCGTCCCTTTTGATATAGAAGTTGTTTTTCCTCCTTCCCAACCAAGATTTAAAAAATCGAAATGGAAAGATATACCAGCTTTTACTTTAATTAATATATTGATAGATATATATGATATCCATACCGACAAAAAATGTCAATTTTTTATGCAGTCTTTGGAAAGTAAACTTTTAGAATTCATGCACTGTATAAATTTAATTCATAAGCTTAACATTAGTTTTTTATAAAATGACACAGGTTACCAGTCATATGGAGTGTTTAGGGAAGAATGACCTTATTGGTGGGGTTAATTTAAAATAATATATAGTTGGGATCACTCAGAGTTCGGATTATTATAAAAAAACTAAAGCACATTATCAATCATACATAAAAATGGGTCATAACTAAAGGCCACAAACCACTATCATATGCTTATCTCTTTGTACAAAAGTTTTTAAGAATTTTTGCCATAAACAAAATCAGAAAAATATTGGTCTTTAACTTCTGTTGATACTTGAGATTGCTAGAATAACACAGAGAAATGTATCTGTAATTGTGTGAATTGATTGAACCCTGCAATGAAGAGAATAGTGATGATAATAGCTCTGCTACTCTGGAAGAAATGTTTTTATGCAGGACTGAAAAGTAGTTTGTGGGTTATGTGAAATAAATGCACTTTATAAGTACAGCATGTAAAGATAACTGTTGATTCCAGCAAATATGTTTTAGGGATTAAAAAAATGGCCAAACTCATCAAACGATAAACATGTAATTGACCATATATTGATATACGGAGTATGTAAACTGTGAATACTAGGTTCAAATTTCATAAGGTAAATAAATGAAGTAGAAAAAAGAAAAGAATTTATCAAAGAACCTGACTACAATAGCCTCCAAATTCTCATCAATGATTGAAGGACCATAAGGATCAACAATTGGTTCGGCTTGTACAACCAGCTCAGGCTTGATGCTCTAGACAAAAAATGTATGAAGGAACAAAGAAAGATACCACAAACCATAAAACAGTTTCTAATTGACCATGAAGATGAAGTGACATTGCAGCATCATTTTAAATGCCAAAAGGCTAAACTTCATATTGGCATATCCATAAATTCCCTTGTATAAATGTATGGTAACTATGGGAGTAAAAGTACCTTAATGTAGTCCTCAACATTTTGCATTCTTTGTTTAATTGGCTCTATTAGATCGGCATACTGCACAAAGAAAGCAGTTACACATGTCTTGCACTGATACATCTCAAATACAGTGATAGAAGAAGTCAAAACACTACCGTTATCTATACAGAGGCAATCTTTTATACTCCATATTAAACAATGCTGGGAAATAAATATCATTTACTTAGTGCCTCATTTCAACAGTAAATTACAACTGAGCATCAGTATAAAGAACCATATTATGCTTTTTAAAAAAATCTCTCTTTAAGCGCCTTTTACTCCTACTTCCCAAAATAAATAAATAATATCCCATCAATCCCAAGAGTTGAGAAATAATATATGTGCAAGATTTCACTCGCTTATCCATTTTAGAATAAAGGGATCACCTTTCAAATGCCGAAATGTGTGTTTCCCTATCCAAATATCTACACAATTTTAAAAAGTTTAAGGGGAAGAGATACATATAGAAACTGGGGTAGAAGCAGAAACTTTGATATATAGGTAATTTTTCTAACAAGCCGTTGATACATTCTAATAGAGTCTAAGAAGTCATGAAAATATAACAGCATGAGTATGCGCCAAACAAATGGATAAAAGAAACATAAAGCTGAGAATTTTGTCGAACCTCCCCACTCCCTAACATTTACCGTATATGGAAAAGCAATAGTCATTAATTCATACTTAGGAAAGTGGGTTTAGATAATATTACCTTCTTCTTTGTCAACATCGGGCCATCGCAAACACCAACTACGATTCGCTCTAGGGACAACACTGCTGCAGCCTATAGGACACATCATATTCAATATCCAATTCAAAATTAACAAAGGAGAATTTTGTGAAGAATTATAAAGATAGGTTTATGCAAGAAGTGCAGAAAAAAAAAACGAATGTGAGGAATCAGGGAACCTTGAGAAAGATGCGGTGGCCGTCGTGTAAGCGATCAAAAGTACCGCCTATGACAACCGCAGAATATGAATTTGGCGGAGATAGGTCGAGTTGAGCGGCGGATTCCTCATCCGTCATCTCAAAAATCTGAATTTGGCGGGGAATGGGTCGGGGAGACGTAGAATTCACGTATCTGTTTCTTCTGATTCAAAGTGTTGACTGGTTGGAATTTGGAAACAAGAGTAAGGCTGAGATTAGTATTGACTAAGATTAGTATTGCCATGAAATATGAAGGTAAGCAATTTATTAGGTTTGTGATTCATAAAGGGAAAAATAAATGAAAAATAAAAAAAGAAGCATGAAAAGTATAAAAATGGAAGAGAATGTCAATGGAATCAAATCAAAGACTAAACACAACATTAAAATATTACCTCTGTTGAGTGCTTCCGTCATCTTGAAAGCAGCTACTTTGCGTAATCTACAAAGTATGTATAATCTACCGAAGTAATGACTTTAGGCTCGCTTAGGCCATTTGAAACTTTGCACACGAGCATCAAGTAAAATCACTAAAATCTATACATAGATTACACATACAATGAAAGTTAAAGCTTGCACCATTGATTACCCTTTTTAATGCATCTTTAAAGCTCGGAGGCATAGTATCTCTATAGCTTTGATTGCAAAATCTGGCAGAAAGTAAAAACATATGAAGAAGTATTAACTTAGAAATATGTAAAAGTACTGACATGCAAATTGTACCTTGAAAACACTAAAAATTCTTCTCACTATACAATCTAGGAGGATGAAGATACAATCCCTATTGAATGATTGATTTAAAAGAAGGGATCGAGGCATTAATATTAAATAAACTTTATGCTTGATTTTCATGAGTGAAGTATGCTCTTAGTTCGATCTAATTACTATTGATGTTAAATATCGTATGCTTTCAGTTGAACTAAAATTAGGCGAAAACATCAATGAGAGATCATGAGAATCAAATATTAGTTTCAAATAATATGAAGCGTTTTTAAAGAGAATCCTGCACATATTGGAATCGGCTAAAGTAGTAAACACCGCTATCATATAGACGGATAAATAGGTTCACACTTTGAGTTATTCACCACAAAATGATATAAAAAAGAGTAGTTGTATACTTGTATTGTCCGGCTACAGAGCAATAAGCTAAAAGATTGCTTAAAAAGGGAAATACACAGAATGTTATTATATATATATGAGCATAGGAAATATGAGCATATGAACAATCCACTAAACAGAAATAAGTAAAAAATGCATCATTAGTTTTTTTTGGAGGGGGGGGGGGGGGGCGTTACTCGAAGTGGACTGAAAACTGGCGGTCGGGTAAGTTTATTTTGAAATATATATATAAGATTTCAATATGTAATTCCTTTTGAAAACTATTAGATTATGGTGAAGAGATTTCCTTAAAAAAGAACTCACATTTGTTTTTTTATATCACAACAAATTATTTAATCAACAATATATGCTACCGTATAAACTCTAATAAACCAAAACACCCTTTTAAATTTTTCAACCAACACGCCCTTTTAATTGGAGTTTAGCATTGGCAAGCATGAACACTTATACTCTGAGTTAAACTTTCCACTCAAAAGTGACCTTCCAGTATAGAGTATAAATAAAACTGCATGCTGTTGTTTTAGGGAGAGTGGTAAAGAGAAATAACCAAAGAGAGTGAGACTCAAAATAGCGATTCAGACTAAACATAATTAAAAGAAATTAGAAGCATGAACCTCATATTAGGAAGCTACCTCATAGAAGCACGTACGATGAAGTGTATAAGTTGACAGCAAATCAACATCATGCCGCAGACACTTCATCAATAAATTCAATATGTGATTATATCCATCACCGATACCGGAAGGGATGCTCTCATCTTTACGGGGCCATCAGTCGAGGAAACCTTCAAAACCAACTGAATGTTGAGTAGCTCGCTCAATGACCCCAAGAAGCGTTAGCTTCAAGGAAGTTGAATATGAGTGTAAGGATATCCAAGTTGCTCCATTCCACCATAGTAAAAAGTGAATTATGAACGTAAGCATATCAAGTAGCTCTCTGTAGTCGAACACAAGATAAGCACTACTGCAAGCCAAAGAGTTCCTTTCTGGCTTCACCAAGGGCATTATGAACCTTGTCATCACATATTAGATATGATTCCAACCTGAATTTGAAAACAGAATTTTGATTTGTCATCAAATGAACATCTATAGCTAGAAAACCTTCAAGCCCAATTTTGTTTTCTTTGTTCACTTCATTTGATTGAAACATTAAGCATAGGGTTACCTCGTTGATAAACATCATTTCTTAAAGGGAGTCATATATTAGTTAAGCCTCACCTTTCTGAGGGGCTGAGGCTAATGAATGTGCTGCTAGCTTCTGTGTTCGACTCCATTGTCTTTGAGGATCAATAACATCCCTGATTGGTGAAGAAATGAAAAACATCTGTGTTAACATTATTAGAAGCAAATATCTATAAGACTAAACAACATTTTTTAAGTACCAAGAAAAAGTGTTCACATTTTTTAAGACTAAAATCATTCACATTTTTTATCCAATCACACACAGATTGCTGAGCTTGCTATGAGAACATTTTCAGAAAAAAAACATGAAAACTGGCTAGATATATGAAATAATATGATATCACTATGACAAAAATATATTAGAGTCCAAATTAAATTCAGATAGTATTGTTTAAGTCCTCTACCATTACTTTATTTTAATATCAAATTTCACGAAGAAAAGCAACAGATTATAGAAAAAGAAGAAAAAGCAGTGTTCTTGACGCATTAGGCCATTAGTCCCATGTTGAAATAGTGAAAGTTCATTATTAGGTGGAAATAATAAAAGGTCGTTTCATGAAGCCAGTCTACAGTGTTGGAATTTCATAAAATGGTGTTATTTATTTTAATACCATGTAGAGCTCTCCCAAGTGATTCACCGGAATGAATGATTTTAGCATCTCTCATATTTACTTTAGTGTATTTAGTATATTTAGATACATCTTTATCTCTTAAAAAATACAATGTTTCTACAAAAGAGACATTGAAGGTAATATCTCTTGATGACTGCACCACTACCCCATCGACTATAAGTGCAATTTCTTCATCATTTATGAATTCACACATGATAACAGAGAGCCACTCCATTAAATATCTCATTGTGACACACCGAAAATTTAAATGAATGATAAAAAAAATATAAATTTTATCAGTCAGATAAAATGTTACTAAAGTGACATTTTAATAATTAAATGAATGAAGTTAAATTTTAACATCGGTGACATTTAATCAGATAAAAATGTTTCAATAATAAAAGTGACATTTTTATAATAATTATGTTGACTAAATAAGACCTTGACTCAAATAACAAAAGTGACATTTTTGTAAGAGGCGATAACTATACATATGATATAAATAATAAAAATGATATTTTAACAATTTTAATGGAAAGATATCGGTTAATAAATATTTGTACACAAATAACAAAGTTGACTCTTTAAAACTGTTGAGGTTTATTCCTTCAACCCTCAGGCCCAACACGTAAGCCCAAAGGTTTCGAGTGGATTGATTGTATGTGTATGCGAATATCTAGCCCAACAACTATCAGATGGATCAGGAAGCAGAGGAAATAGCAGGCAATGTAAATAGGTATTATTAACTTCGTAATAACTCCCCTAAGTACAATCTACTTGCTAAAAAGAGGCACGTCGGCCGTTCGTCTTACAAGGCAGTTAGAAATGCTACAAGTAAGAAAGCTGAAGCTAGTGTGCTAAGAGTAGAAAGTTGCCAACCCCTTACAATGAAATAAATGCTTCTATTTATACCCACCAATGGGCAGGTGGCTGTACTGACGTGGCAGCCTGTGGACCGCTGGTGCCCCAACTACCAAATCTCCAGCATTAAATGCACTTCCCGCCAGAATCTAGGTTTCCCGCCCAATCAGTGGGGACGTTCGTCCGCCCGGGAAGTGAGTTGGATCGCTCCAAGTGACCCTCAAGAGATACCGGCTGTTCGTCCCCTGGCCTTGATAGATACTCGCCTTGTGGACTGGGTTTCCTCTGATGACCATAGGCTTGCCGTGAGGACGTTCGTCGTCATCCCTGGTGGCCCGTGGCCCTGCTCCTTGTCCTTGCATGGACGTTCGTCGGGATGAGCCGCTGGGCCTGAACTCCCAACCCCAGACGTTCGTCCATCCTCAAGGAACATGGGCATGTGGGCTGGCCTTGTGTTCTAACTGGACGTACGTCTGGTAAGAAAGGGTTAGTGGGCCGAACCTCGGCTTGGGCCCTTAACCCAACACAAGTCCCCCACTTCTGATGTTCTGAGCATGCGCAGGACATAAGGAAGTATGAACCCCCTTGAAGTAGACGTTCGTGTCTTGATACTTGTGTTTACTGCATCCGGTGGAAGCATACGCTCGTGGTCATGGTGCTTGACAGCTGTCGACAGTTCAGGAAACGAGGTGACGGCTGCTATAGCGGCGGTGCACTTTCCCGAGGAAGTGTCATCATTACGTTTCCATCGCACGCACGGCGCGTGAGCCGGACCACGCTCCTGCCACGTGTCAACCCTTCGTTGGCCCCCTAACCGGTGCTCCCCCTATAAATGCCGGGTTTTCCCCCTGAATTAGGGTTCCCAATTTCTGCTCCTTTGCTTCAGAATCCCCGCTGTTCTTCGAGTTGTCTGCTTGGCTTCTGAGTTCAGCCAGTTCCTTCGCAAGGTAATTTTCCCTCCTCTGCTTCTTCTCTTTGTCCCGATTCCTAGTCGAAATGACTTCGATGGAGATTTCGTCAAGTTCTGATTCCGGTTCGTCGGGTTCTTCTTCGGGCTCCTCTTCTGACGGCGTGAACGCGCGCTCCCCGGGGAAGGCCAGTGTTTCTGGGACTTCTGGTTCGGCCACGACGGTGGGGACCATCCGGGCTGATGGTGAGCCAGATGATGCTTCCCAAGGTAGTGGGAGTGATGCTGGGGATGGAAATGCCGACGGGGCAGTAGATGTTATTGACGCAGTCCCCTTGAATGAGCGCCCCGCCGATTATGATTCTGGGGAGGAGGCCGAATCAGGTTCTGACATGGAGGTGCATGATCTGGGCATCCCTACGGACATGGAGCGCCACATCTGTCCGATCCGAAGTGCCCTCGACCATGATCAAGTCCTCTCCCGCGTGGCTCTTAACAAAATCCGCACCTTCTTCCCCCCGCCGTTCGTCTGGAGCGT